AATGCATCCAACAACACCAGCGAATGACCAAAATATAGATATAGATCTTATGTCCGCCAAACCTCACAAGAGCCGCGCACCAGCAAAGCAGGTAATTATTGAATAAACACATATTCAGTATTATGTTTATATTGTTTCTGAACCGAACAAGCTCTAAATTATTTGCGATAATTCAGTCTAACAATATTTTCTGTGAACGTGTCAAAGTTATTTCAAATTAAACTACATCTGTTCGGAATCCCGGATTTCTGTTGTATCGTCGTCCGATGCTAAATGGCAGAAAAATATTTAATTTTAATCACATTGTAACCATTAACGTTGCGTTTGTATGAATGGTGCGGTGGTCGTTCCTATCATCGAGCAACCACAATCACACACATTTCATATTAGTATAATCCTGTGCACCGTAATCTCAACGACATATTGACTATGATTTCATTGACCTTAGCAAACATGCTAAAACATAGTATTGAAATATTAATATGTTCAGTGCAGTTATGGAGCTTAAACTTCAACCCAAAATACAAATTATATCACATTCACATGTGAATAAACTATTCTAACATTATTATATATTTTACATGAGTGTGGTTTGTTGGTACAATTTAATTGACAAGCAATAATTTCAATTTCAGGATCCAGGTAACAATCCAGAACAGCTGGTCTACGCCGATTTACAGCATGCCACTGGAAACGTATCGATACCCCAAGCAAGAGCAAGACAGGATCATGCACCACTAGCTTCGAAAACAGAGTATGCCACAATTGATGTAGCCAAATTGAAATAAGCTACGAGTTAATTGGATTGATACTTCCGCGCACAATTAATTATATATATAGTAAAGAAAATCAATTACAAATCAAATTAATTAACCCTTGGACATATATATGAGGTTCAAATTAATATTCTTTATTGGCGGCATTCTGACAACCATTAGTCTAACCAATGATGTTCAGGTACGTTAAACAAATTGTTCCCATGCTATAGAAATAATCAGATCAGCCCACTTTATCACCTTAACAATATATACAGTCATATTATAATATTAGTTTCATTCAGATGAAATATTATCGCATTTCTTTGTTTGTGTCACAAATATATATTTACTTGTTTGAAAGTTTGTAATCTCAATCATTGTGGCCAAAAATTATAAAAAGTTATTTATCTAGTAACAATAACATTTATATTTATATTGTATTTGTTTGAATAAATAGCCACTTTCCCGGGAACCTCGCGAAGTCGTTGCCTTCGATAAGTCGCGGTTTTTGCTTGAACCCCGACACCCGCGACTTAGCGAGAGCCACTGTAATTGCTATTCAGTTGTGTCACTGATTACGCAGTAAAACATTTTGAAATACAAGCATAACATTTCCTGCAGTTATTTTCAAAATTACAGAATTACATTAGTGGTGTGAAACCTATATTATGCTCTCTTTCATTGCAATCCTGACCAATCCTGTTGTAGTTTTTTCTAACTTCTCACCAACTCGAATGTTGTACAGTGTCGGGGTCCAGCGACAGTACTAGTGTACAAACGAGCGCCGGTCACGGCGACGATAACGGTGACCAGCTATGAATATGAAGGAAATATTTCGCATTTAACTCAACCCTATGCGCCAATTTTTTTGATATTGTGTGTTCATTATGGTCCATTTCTCCTCGACGGACAAATAAATACGTGGCAATTCAGTCAAAGATAAGAAAACTGTACAAAATATGTGTCTCATATACATGTATCGGCAATGCACGCTGCACAGCGACGTCACAAGGGGAATTTATGTATGCAAATGAGAAAATAATGAGGAGCCTCGTTTTAAATTACACAAACACAATTTGCCCCAGACTTGCCATTTCACAGGCACTTTGAAACAGCTATAATCATCATATCTGATAATTAACCTAATTATCTAACATACCGGTTAATTATATCACGTGCAATTTACTAGTATTCTTTCCAATAATATCGTATTTACTAGGGCAACTTTTGATAGACAACTACTATCAGAGAATCATTACATTCAGCTGCCGTGTCGAAAATTCAATATATGTTCTGATTTGAAAGATCTACGTGATCCACTTCTACTCTGTCTGTTATTTGAGAGGTTTCCCATGGTAGACATGGTGTAATAAATGTTAATAACTACAACCATCAACACCAACACATCAACAGCCTGCCTGTTAGATACACAACTATGAACACTCATATAGATACTGATAACAAGCTATATATGTGTTGTTTTAGTGTTTGCACTCGTACGTAAGGTACCAACCGTAGGTGGCCAAAGTACAGTTGGGTCAATGTCCTGCAAGTTTACATTGACCATTTTACATTGAACAGTATGGAGGGAATGTATCTGCAGCGTTTATAGCATGGCGCATAATATTTAAGGCATTTTTCATATTGGCGTATTAGTGTCATACATTTATCCCATGTATCATACCTGTTAATACTTATAATTCGTAATATCATATATATGGTACGGTTATATTGAAGAATATTATGTGAGGACCATAAATTAAAAATAATAATTTGAAAATCAATTATATGTCTAACACTCATCGTGTTACCTAGTGATTCATGCTAACATTCCAGCCATGGTGGTACTATTGAACACTGTCTCTTCGAAGGACAAATGGGCCTAGTTTGACACAGTTTCCTCTAAATCACAAATAGACTGGTCCAATAAGTAAAGATGTTAGTTACCAAATAATGATGACACATAACGATGACTGAACATTTTGATTTGATTTTGGTCGCTTGGTGAGAAGTTCTAAATAACATATTTGTCACATATATAATGATAAATAATAAGATACCCAATTGATTTTGATTGTAAATGCACAATCGATACAGTGCGTTTGAAGATACACCCACACAAAGGATGTCAATCGATGTAAGATATACATCCTTGAATTTTACTTCGTTTTTGAATGTCCACTCTTAATTTTCACTAAAGTATATTCACCAAAAGCACGCACAACATTGGTTTAACCTATATGTTTTGCCAATAACTTTAATAAGTTCTTTCTAAAGTCACACTAATTACAATTCTGATATTGAGCACACAGTGACTAGTAACATATTCTGCAGAAATATATATGTATTCTATTACCACAAATACATTAACACATACCTGCTGCCAACATATATGTTGCAGTGTTGAATAAATCTTTTTTAATATTCCTCAATGGACCGTAAATACAAATTATTTTAAACCACCTGATATCAATGGCTAAATTTATGTTAAATATATGTTATTTTAAATTACTTGAGAAAAGTATCCGAAAATGTGAGTATATAGTGAACAATTAAATTTCTCATAACATAATTAATTGTTGCCATGGAGAGCCATGCTACATGCCATACATTTGTATATAACACTGACATGCTAATGAATTCGAGTGACATATTTGATAACGTCATAGACAAGGCAAAGTTGACTTTTGAATATTAAAGTTTCGTTTTTAAAAACTGTAAAATAAACAATAAAACAATATATTATAAGATGTCAAATGACACATTACAAATGATGTATATGTCCTTAATTTTTGTGTTTAAAAATATTTAGATTTTTTTACCAATAGTTAATTACTTAATAACGAACTTCAGTCATTCGGATGTATTCTGCATGGAACGCAATTTAATATATCTTCATTATTTTATACATGTCAAGGCATTGCCGTCAGCGGTGGTATATGTAGCGCCATCAATGCCGATCAGTATGAACAACAAGCATACAGTGCAAACAAAACCTTAGTGACCCCTGAGATCATAGTACAACGTTTTTGCTAATCACATTATTCAAGTTAGTTCAGTGACCCATGTCATAGTAAACCTGACTGTCGTTCATTTCATTACATGCAATACATAAGTGACTAGATATTGAATCATATTCAACAGTATATACAATTGTCTAATTTATTTTATAATTAAGATGGGAAAACAAGTCATACATAGTTGTATTTAAATTTAAAGTAATTTTATTCAATAGTATCTTGAATTAATGCACATCCACAATGTCGAATCAATTAAGACTGTAGAGCTAAATTATAATATTATCACCTAATACCATAATTCAAACTAACGAAAATGAAGTAGAATATCTATTTCGCAGTTGTAGTTTGTCATTTGTCTGTATGAGATTTGAACTTTAGTCTAAACAACCTTCAACATTTATATACTTCTTTTTTGTCAGGAGTATACTTGTTTAGCGGGTTATATAATGCAGGTCAAAGTAACAACAATTGATTGTTACTACATACATTGTGACGACATTTTATAAAAATAAAACATTCGTGTTTCATGCATTGTATATTTAATCATATTTTGACTTAGAATATTTAAATGGTGGGTCATACAGGCGAACATTATCAACTCAACACATCTACTTTATCAGTTGGTGCGTCTTTTATATCAGTGTACATGCTATTTATACATGGCAATCAATATCGGCCATGTTATTATCGGTATTTCATTTGGATTTTTGTCTAAAGGCACTCAGATGTTTACTGTGGACAGTTGTACAAATATTCTGATGAAAGTATTTTGTATTGTGCTTGTGTTTTGTTTTGCCCGAGGATGTTGACTGACGAGTCGCATAATGTTTAAATGTGAAAAGTAGACAAATTAACAACGTGATTATTAATCATGTGTTAATACAAAGTTATATTAGTTAAGTATCACTAATTGCAAAAGTATCAGCATCCACCCTTTTACGTGGTATTTATAACAATCACATGACATTTTAAAACAGCCCAGTCGTGGCCATAATAACGTATTTGTGAATATTGCATCTATATTTGAAGAAAATACATCTACTAATTGTATTGCTGTATTAAAACCTGACGTACACAGCTATATTCGTTAATATTAATTTTTGCTCACATCCGAGGTTCTTCATAGATATGTATATCACCTGTCATCTAAAAAATAAATAAGAATGTTATGTTCTAATATAAGTATAGAATAATAAGTGCATGACAATTATGCACATGAGTATATGAAATATTACATAAAAGGTATATGAATATCTTGCAGAATACCTTATCGCCATTTAAAATGACCTTCAATATCTTTGTCAACTTCTGAAACGTAGGTCTTCGCTCTGGATTATCTGCCCAACAAAGTTCCATTGCTGAAAACCTGTATAGTTCATTACAATACAGTGTGACACAGTAAGAAGTGCAATACAAATTTCAAATTAGTACATAAATCACCTGTGGCATGTATTCATCAGTTATATTCAAATTAAAAATTATTGCAGTTATTATTTTATAAATCATTTCAATAACGATATCGTCTGACACACTTACAGGTCTTGGTAACATTTAACATTGTTGAAAACCTGTATAGTTCATTACAACACAGTGTGACACAGTATATAGTGCAATACAAATTCTAAACCAATAAATAAATCACCTGGAGAGCGTATTTATCAGTTAAAATCCAATTGAAACTCATGGTAGTAAAGTAATTTCATGAATTATTTATTTAGCGATATCAGCCAACACACTCACAGGTCCTGGTGACATGTATTTGTTCTTGGCATTCGATATCCTTCCTGCACAGACTCGATCACTTCCTCTGTTGACATATCGTTATATGGTACACCACCTGTATGACAATAACTTCCCAAAGTTATTTAACTAAAATTATGATTATTTTCAATGCCATTATCATTGCAGTGTCAAGTAATACTCATACAACAACGAGTATAATCACTCAGATATGTATGTACATAAGGTGTTTATCATAATAACTACGACGAAACTTATAATTGTGATTTTGACATATTTTGTTGAATCACTGTGTCTCGTCTCTTTTTTGATATTAAAATACTCTATTTTGTTCATTATATATTATATAAACTATATCTACCTAGTGTTGCTATCTCCCACAAAACAATACCATATGACCATACATCGCTTTTATTGGTATACACGCCATCCAATATAGACTCTGGTGCCATCCAGCGAACTGGTAAGTGCCCCTAAAACAATATCGAAGAGATATATTCATTATTATTGCAACAACAAATCATCAATTACGTTTTGCCAGGAATCAGCAAAACAATTCTTTATTTGTATAGATTGTAGTAATCATACTAACCTGAGTTCTTTTCTCATACTCTCGTTGATCAAGGACGTCAGTTGCCAATCCAAATCCAGATAATTTGCATACCAGTTTTTCATTCAGTAGTATATTCCGAGCAGCCAAGTCTCGATGAACACACTGAAAAAAATAACAAGCCAAGCAAACGTATAACACATACAACATAAATGGCGGCTATGACTTGCAATCGGTTCTAACTTGTAAATAACAAGGTGACAAAAATACTACCCCAACTTACGCATTTTTTCTTCAATGAATTCCATAGCAAGAGATATTTGATATGACAAACTAATACGATTGTGTTGAGACAACATTTTCACATGTTTGTTTAGATTAGTATATGTATTTTCCTCATTACTTTTTTCTCTACGAAGATAAGTTTGTAGGTCACCAAGATCCATGTATTCAAGAACAACATACGTGGGACCTAGGAGGACAAAAGTATAGATGTTCACTTGCTTATATGTAGTATAAAGCACAACATAAGAGAATACTCGAAATATGATAATTATTTAAAACGCAAAGCAATGAGATGCACATGGTGGAAAGTGAAATTGTATACCGTCTTGTGTGCAACATCCGATCAACGTCACAACGTTCGTGTGTGAGGTGATTGATTTAAGCAACTCCAATTCCTTGAGTATTGACTTGTGGTACTCATCAGTAAGCCCATCTGCAATGCAGTAGAAATAGTTACAGTCACTAAACACATGACAACATTGCTCATACACTATTGTGTCTACGAAAATAACCTACCACGTTTTCTGCTGTAAAACTGTGTGATAATATATATCACAATTGTTGTCATTTCTGTCAAAAGACACACGGCCAAATTTGTATATGTGGTCATAACAAAAATATATGTGATCAAATGGATCTTGTACAACATCTGGTGGTATATGTCATAGGAAAAAATAATGTTTGTATGCATTAGAGTACATAATACTTACCTTTTAGCATTTTTACAACTACAGTTGAGTGTATATTTTGTGATTCGATACTTGCTGTCGCTTTCACCACTTTTCCAAAATATCCTTCTGCAATAGTTTCCCCAAGACGAATTGATTCCCTTGGAATTTCCCATGGTACCTCGCCATGTTTCAAGTATACGTGATCTGGATTGATAGACATGCGCAGATCTTCATATTCAGCGGTATGCGAAGGCTTCTGAAAATCGAGTTATGTATGATATTTGAATTCAAACATTAAACAAACATATCTATCTGTATACACTGAACCATCAGATGTTCAGTAAATTATTAGAAACACAATACTGAATGAAGATATTAATATTAAATAATTGTTATTATGAACATCAATAAACTTTAACATATTCACCTTGACCTGTGAATGTCGTCGTAAATATAATATATATACCCATGATATTACAATAACAGCAAAGAGTAGGATAATTACAATAATTAATGCAAATATCACTCCATTTGTATTATCTTCTGATGAATCTGAAATAGCAAACACTTTCGTTTATTTGTTGAATTATCTAAACACAGTGTTTACACAAATAAAAATTGCTTGATTTGTTATAGAATAGTATTACTGCTGAACTACTTACACTGAAGTAAGTTTACTGCTATTTCATCACTGGTACTTTTGCCGATCGTATCGTCGTGAAAACGTGTTGTTGCATAACATGTGTAAGTTCCACTCTGTTCTTCACTAATTGATTTAATGATATAAAGTATATGTAAATCACATTCGACTCCCGCCATGACACTGTCATTGCCATTGTCATCTTTGTGGTTTATATACATTTCATAAGGACGAGGGTTTGCATCGGTTGTTATACACAGTAAAACGACGTGTTTTCCTTCATATACATCACTAGGACCAAAAAGGGAAATATTAGCAGGAACTATTAGAAACTAAAATAAAATGGGGGAAAACAATATATCGCACACGTAATACATGTCATACATATTAACTAAATCACTGTGCTGTACATGATTACCACATAAATTGCATAGAAAAGAGTGTAATGCAAACAGCGTTTATACGAACGAATAACATTGCGTCACTCACACTGAACAATAATATGCAAGGAATCATTGTCTGACGCGGTTGATTCATTCCAAAATACAGTTTCTGCAAAACAAATGTATCTACCGCTATCAAATCGTGATATGGATTTTGTCATCAGTGTTGACCCTGGAGTGAATGAACCATCTGGATGTATCCATATTCCTTCTACCGCTGGGTTTGAATCTATTAAACATACAGCTATATATGCATCGCCCTCAATTAATATTACATCAGTTTGGTTTTGTATATTGACAGTTGGAGAATCTAAAAAAAAAATACCATTATATTGACCTCAAACAATTAGAACATGTCGTGATTGTCATGTGGTTAATGATATTCATATGTAGTGTAAATATCCTAATTATTTGGTAACTGTTAGAATGATTGTGGTTTGACTTGTAAATAGGACAATTACCGATTATGCTGTTATCACTACTTTAAAATATGTTTAGTACCATTTAATTATCTAACCAAACTTTGAACACAGATATTAGTTGTCAATTCATTTATATTTGTCAGCAAAATGCATGGATTTATATTTGTGTTTATGTTTATTCGGTTAACAAAATGAGGAACCAATTTCAATTCGATGTAAATTAGATTTCAAACTGTTGAGAATTGTTTATATAATACAAATAAACTTTGCTCACATTGTACGTTAATGTACATTATGGTGACACCGACTCCTTCAGAAGTATCCAAAAATGTATTTCTAGCCAGACATGTGTAATTCCCCGTGTCCTCCCTGGAGGGTGATTCAACAACTTCACTCTTCTCATGACTAAGAATGTGCCGATTTGGGCCTAGCCATAAAAATATTTCTACATCAGGATTGGCATTTAATACAAAGCATGTGACTACAAAGGAATCACCCTCTATCACATTTCCAGATACATCTGCATTGCCACTTACAATTATTTCAATTTCAGGGGCAACTGAAAATATATGAAAGATGTAAAATGTTAAACTAAAACACAAAAATTGTATTTTTTTTATAAATGTGACACTACTGTGATTAATATGAGGATATCGACTAATATTATTTCTTTGTAAAACCGGGTAACACAATTACCGTCATGGAGTAGTATATTCAACAACTAGTGGGTGGATAATAGAGCACGTCATGAGACCTGAATGACAAGGAAATCATATCTTTGTAGACTACTCTTACACATTTTACGCTAATTAATCATGTCGTCTAAGTGCGATGCTAAACTCAAATTTGCAGTTAGCGATTGTTTTCTATAATTAACAGAAATAAATAGAAGTTTTTGTCGGCATTTTGGCATCATGGAAGTAATTGTTCTTATTTAGCCCAAAGAATCCCTTATCGCTGTGTTACACATGGTATTGTTAAATGATGTTTCGTTCAACTGTGAATGATATGTATTATTGTCTTGTAAGAATACTGTGTATAATACTATTCACTATATTATTGTTGATTTTGGATGTTGTTTACAGATATATTAAATTAGTTTACACTGAACATCCATGACTATCTTGTTTTCACATGATACTTGTGACCACTTAGGACGAGGTAGAGTATAATGTTCAAGTTGACAATCAAACACATCCCCATTGTTGTCTTTAAATAGTAATGTCGTCCACGTATTTTCCATCCCCGTCTTTCTCATAACTTCAACACTATTTCGATACCACACTAAATCACCAGGTGCACTGTCAGACAGGTTCATGATGTAAATCAATGTGACATTGTTTCCGGAGATTATGGTAGTACTGAGGTTCAACGGCACAATTAGGTCGACTGTCTGAAAGATGTGTTTGTAGAGGGGTGTAGTATCAGTTCATATCGGTTACAAATATAGCAACAATTACACTATTCAATTGTTATACACAAAATTTATATCACCATAGAAATAACCCACTTTCAGTATATGTATTATCATACATTGATGCCTCAGTGATACTGTTCTCCATACTGCCAATGAGGAGGAAATTTTAAGAAGACAAAATACAATGATTTGCTTACTAACCAAACTGAACGCGACCATAAGACAACGAATCATTTTACATATCAAGACCAGATTTGTGCTAAATATTATTTTGAATATTTGCATTTAGTAGTTTTT